TGTAATCCCAGCACTTTGGGAGGCCAAGGTGGGTGGATCACCTGAGGTCAGGAGTTTGAGACCAGCCTGCATGGCGAAACCCTGTCTCTACTAAAAATATAAAAAATTAGCCGGGCATGGTGGCAGGTGCCTGTAATCCCAGCTACACGGGAGGCTGAGGCAGGACAATCGCTTGAACCCGGGAGGTGGAGGTTGCAGTGAGCCGAGATTGTGCCATTGCACTCCAGCATGGGCGACAAGAACGAAATTATATCTCAAAAAAAAAAAGGAAGAAAAAACATTTTGGGTTTGAGTGTGTGTTTTCTTCTTTGTAACCCATTGCCTCAACAGGCTAAAGAAGAAAAATCACAGGTTAATAGATATAGAAAAAGCATTTGACAAAATACAACACCCATTCATGATAAAAACTCTGTAAACTAGGAATGGAGAAACATTTCCTCAGCTTGTTAAAGAAATATACAAAAACCCTACAGCTAACATCATACTCAAATGGTGAAAAACTCAAAGCTTTCCCTTGTAAAATCAGGAATAATACAAGGATGCTCTCTTTCACCAATCCTTTTGAACATCTGGAAAGTCTCAGGTAATGGAATACTGGAAGTTCTAGCTATTGCAATGAAAAAAGAAAAGGAAATAAAAGGTATACACATTGGGAAGAAGTAAAATTGTTCATATAAGACATAATAATCTATGCATAAAATCCAAACTGAAAAAAATACTCCAAGAACTAATAAGCAATTACAGCAAATTTACAAGACACAAGATTAATATACAAAATCCAAATTCTTTCTTAGATACATGCAACGAACAAGTGGAATTTGAAATTAGAAATACAATAAATACCATTTATAATACCACCAAAAAATGAAACACATAGGTATAAGTCTAATAAAATAAATGCAAGGTCTACCTGAGGAAAACTACAAAACTCTGATAAGGAAAATCAAAAAACTAAATAAATGGAGAGATGTTCCATTATTATTGACAGGAAGACCCAAAACTGTCAAGATGTCAGTTCTTCCCAACTTAGTCTACAGATTCAATTCAATCCCAATCAAAATTCTTGCAAGTCATTTTGTGGATACTGACAAACTAATTCTAAAGTTTACATAGAGAGGCAAAAGATTCAGAATAGATAACACAATATGGAAGGAGAGGAACAAAGCTGGAGGACTGACACAACCCAACCACAAGACTTATTATAATGCTACCATAAATAAGAGAGTATGGCATTCGTGAAATAATAAACAAATAAATCAATGGAACAGTAGAGGGCCCAAAAGTATACCCACATATAATCCACTGGTCCTTGAAAAAGGAGCAAAGGTAATACAATGGAGAAATGATAGTTTTTTCAACAAGTCGTATGGACATCCACATCCAAAACAATGAATCTAGGCATAGATTTTACACCCTTCACAAAAAATTGACTCAGCCGGGCATGTTGACTCACGCCTGTAATCCCAGAACTCTGAAAGGCCGAGGTGGGCGGATCACGAGGTCAGGAGTTTCAGACCAGCCAGGCCAACATGATGAAACCCTGTCTCTACCAAAAAATGCAAAAATTAGCCGGGTGTGGTGACAGGCACCTGTAATCCCAGCTATTAGGGAGGCTGAGGCAGGAGAATCGCTTGAAACCAGGAGGCAGAGGTTGCAGTGAGCCAAGACCGTGCCATTGCACTCTAGCCTGGGTGACAGAGCAAGACACCATCTCAAAAAACAAACCAAAAAACCAAACCTCTCAATGGGTCATAGACCTAAACATAAAATAAAACTTCTGGAAGGTAACACAAGAGAAAATCCATATGACCTTGAGTATAGTGACACAACACCAAAGCCAAGAGCTATGAAACAAATAATTGACAAGATGAACTTCAGTAAAATTAAAATTTTCCGATCTGCAAAAGATAACATCAAGTGAATGAAAAAACAAGCCACAGACATGGAGAACATGGTTGCAAAACACAAATATGATAAAGAACTATTATTCAAAATATAAAAAGAACTAAACTCAACAGTTAGAAAATAACCTGTTTAAAAAATGGACCTAAGACCTTAACACTTCACCAAAGAAAACAGAATAGCAAATAAGCATATGAAAAGATTTCAACATAATGTCATCAGGGAGATGCAAATTAAAACAACAAAGGGCCAGGTGAAGTGGCTCACACCTGTAATCCCAGCACTTTGGGAGGCCAAGGGAGGCAAATTACTTGGGCCCAGGAGTTCAAGACCAACCTGGGCAACATGGAGAAACCCTATCTCTAAAAGCATACAAAAATTAGCCACGCATGGTAGCTCATGCCAGTAGTCCCAGCTACTTGGGAGGCTGACGCAGGAGGATCACTTGAGCCCAGGAAGTGGAGGTTGCTGTGAGCGGAGATTGTGCCACTGTAATCTAGCCTGGGCAACAGAGCAAGACCCTGTCTCAAAAATAAACACATAAATAAAACAAAATACTAAGTTGGTGCAAAAGTAATTGGGGTTTTGCCATTAAAAGTAATCTCACACTTTAAGGGGTGAGGTGGGCTTCAGCCCAGGAGTTCAAGACCAGCCCGAGCAACATGGCAAAACCCCATCTCTACTAAATATACAAAAAAAATTAGCTGGGTGTGGTGGTGTGTGCCTATAGTCCCAGCTACTCAGGAGGCTGAGGTGGGAGAATCACCTTAGCCTAGGAGGTTGAGGCTGCAGGAACCCTGACTGCACCACCATACTCCAGCCTGGCAAATGAGGGCAAGACAGTCTCAGAAAAAGAAATAAATACTATTACACAACTGAGAGAATGGCCACAATCCAGAACATGGACAAGTACTCAGACGCTGGGTGGATGTGGAGCAACAGGCACTCTCACGCATTGCTGGTAGAAAAGCAATCTCATAAAGCCACTTTGGAAAACAGCTGGCCATTTCTTACAAAACTCAACATACTTGTATATATGATTCACCAATGTGACTCCTTCGTATTCACCCAAAAGACTTGAAAACTATATACATACAAAAACCTGCACACAGATGTTTATAAGTTTTATTCATAATAGCCAAAATTTGGCAGTAACACAGATGCTCTTCCATATGTGAATGAATAAACTGTAGTACATCCAGACAATGGAATATTACTGAACACTAAAAAGAAATGACAGACCAGGTGTGGTAGCTCATGCTTGTAATCCCAGCACTTTGGGAGGCCGAGGCAGGCGGATCACCTGAGGTCAGGAGTTCGAGACCAGCCTGGCCAACATGGTGAAACCCTGTCTCTACTAAAAATACAAAAATTAGAAGGTGTGAGCACATGCCTGTAATCCCAGCTACTCGGGAAGCTCAGGCAAGAGAATGGCTTGAATCGCTTGAACACAGGAGGTAGAGGGTGCAGTGAGCTGAGATCATGCCACAGCACTCCAGCCTGGGCAACAGAGCGAGACTCTGTCTCACAAAAAAAAAAAAAATTTAGAGGTTTGAGAAAAAATTCTAAAAATTAAAAAACTAACAAAAAAACAAACAAATGAGCTATCAAGCTATGAAAAGACATGAAGGAAATTTAAATACATATTACTGAGTGATGGAAGTCAATCTGAAAAGGCTACATAACTATATGATAGAAAAGGTAAAACTATGAAGACAGTACAAAGATCAGTGGTTGCCAGGGTTGAGAGAAGAGGAGAATGACCAGGCAAAGTACAAAAAATTTTTAAGGCAGTGAAAATAGTCTATATAATACTATAATGACATATATTGATACATCATTGATTATGATAAAATGTGTACATCATTATATATCATCCAAACCCTTAGAATATACAACACCAAGAGTAAATGTTAATTGCAAACCATGGACTTTGGGTGATTATATGTCAATGTAGGTCATCAGTTGTAATAAACGTACCACTCTGGTGGAGTTAGTGATGGGGGAGGTTATGCATGTGTGGGTAAAGGAGGTATGCTGGAAACTCTTTACCTTCCTCTCAGTTTTGCTGTGAACTTAAAACTGCTCTTAAAAAATACTTTAAACACACACCCAAACATACATCACCCAACACAGATTCAGCAACTTAAAATCTTTGGCTAGAAAAGGATTTAAACAAAAATTTAAAATTTTTATTTCCCTTACACTGTTTAAAAGAGGGAAAGAAATGCTGGTAAAACCATATATATTCATTAGAACTTCTTAAAACTTACTAAGGCTATCTGACATCTACTATATGGCTTATTATTTTGTGATTTTCTTCTTTGCCATAACTATCAAAGTTTATGTGAAATCAGAATATGTGACTTTCCAACCAATTCTGATGCTTGTCTCTTAACTGAAAATAGTCACCATTCTAAAAAATTAGAATTGGATCCTCCCTAATGCCTATAAATCTACTTTGTGCCAAGAATTGGGAGGGATAGATGGATGATTAATATCTCCTTTGTACCAATTTCCGAGAGTATAAATTGACTACAAAAAGGAACTTTATGAGTCACCAATTCTGAGTGCATGAGTATAATCTGTTTCTTTCAATGTACATTCTTGTGTTTAATGCAATGAATATGACTTTAGAAGGCATAAGGAAGAATTTCCTTGGGTTCATTCTTAACCAAAATTTACAAGGTTGATCATGGTACACATAAGAATCAATCAATCTTCGCTGCCAGGCAACAGGAGGGAAAATATTCTAGAAAGAAACTTGTGTACTTGCATCTTTGAGACTATAAAATATATGAGTTCATGGCTGGCTACAAGAACTTCACAGTCATCCTTAGCACTGTAGGACTGTAAAATTTAAAAACGTTACAAAAGATATTCAACATTTCTGCTCATCTAATATTCTTTTGGTAGTCTATATTCTCCCATAATAAATTTTTCAAAAATATTCAATAATTATAGCATTAATGGAAAGAGAAAACTTAGGACATCCATGACGGAAAAATCCTTCATGACGACATGAACCAAGCAAAATCTCCTGTATTTAGATCTATTGTTTTCACAAAAACTCCTTCGTGGTTTTCTTAAACACCTACCTCTTGTAGAACTGGGATAACAGGTGGCTTTCTCTGCTGCAGAAAGTACAGCACCATAAGGATATATGCATATGAAGATAAACTTCCCCTGGAAGCATCCCCAATGTCACATCGCTAAAAAACAACATGATTGAAAACAAAACTTCAGAGTCTTACACCACGCAGAAATACTGAGTATTCTGCCACATCATTTTTTTTTAAACCCACAGAACTGGGTTAAACTGGGTTAAAAACAAACTGCTCTAGGCTGGGTGCACCGTCTATAATCCCAACGCTCTGGGAGGCCAAGGTGAAAGAATAGTTTGAGCCTGGGAGGTCAAGACCTGCCTGGGTAAGGTAGTGAGACTCCCTCTCTACAAACAAACAAAAAACTGCTATACATGATGTGGGGAAATAGGTACTCTCATACACTGCAAATGAGAGTAAATTAATGCAAACACTATGAAGATTAGTTTGACAATATCACAATTACAAAAGCACATTTTCTTTGAACTAGAAATCCTATTCTAAGAATATACCCTGCAAACATGCCAAAAATATGTGAAATAACTAAGAAGGTTTCTTTAATTCTAACACTGTTATAATAGCAAAAATTAGAAATAATTTTAGGTTCATCAGTAAAGCACAGGTTTAAAATAACTAAGGATTATTTACGTAATGGAAAGGTATGCAGACATTAAAAAAGAACAAGGTCCTTGATGGTCTAGTAGTTAGGAAAAATATCTTTTTTAATAAATAAAAAATAAATGAGTCTAAGAGTTCAAGACCAGTCTGGGCAACACGGCGAAACCCCTTCTCTACAAAAAATACAGCAACAGCTAGGCATGGTGGCAGATGCCTGTATTCCCAGCTACTCAGAAGGCTGAGGTGGGAGGATCAATTAGGCCCAGGAGGTCCAGGCTGCAGCATGCAGTAATCACATCACTTTATTCCAGCCTGGGCAACAGAGTGGGACCCTGTCTCAAAAATAAAAATAAAGGCTGGGCAAGATGGCTCACACCTCTAATCACAACACTTTGGGAGGCTGAGGTGGGCGGGTCACCTGATGTCAGGAGTTCGAGGCCAGCCCATCTAACATGGCAAAACACTGTCTCTACTAAATTACAAAAAGTAGCCGGTCGTGGTAGCAGGCAACTATAATCCCAGCTACTTGGCAGGCTGAGGCAGGGAGAAATGCTTGAACCCAGGAGGTGGAGGCTGCAGTGAGCTAAGATTGTGCCACTGCACTCCAGCCTGGGTGACAGAGCAAGATGCCATCTCAAAAACAAAAAAAGAAAATTAAAATTTAAAAAAAGAGAACAAGGGAGTTATTCTACTAATAAGAAATTATCTCCAAGATCTACTGCTAGGTTAAAAAAGAAAAGCAAAGTGCAAAACAATATATTCAGTGTGTTTATATCTGTAATAAAAAGGAGATGGGAAATTTATGTATTTCCTAGTACTGGTATAATATATTTCTGGAAGGATGCAGGGAAACTCTTAACACTGGTTGTCTCCAGCAAGAGGCAATGATTGGCTAGGAGGTAAGTATGGAAGGAAGATTTTCCATTTTCTACCATAAGTTCTTTTAGACCTTTTGAATTATTTTTTTCAATCTTTGAGACAGAGTCTCACTCTTTTGCCCAGGCTGGAATACAGTGGCATGATCTCAGCTCACTGCAACCTCTCTAACTCTTGGTCTCAAGCAATTCTCGTGCCTCAGCCTCCCAAGAATCTGGGACTGCAGGTGTATGCCACCACAACTGGCTGACCTTTTGAATTCTGAACACATGATTATGTTGGCCATTCAAACAATTTTAAATTTTAAAAAATAAAAATAAAATAAAAACCTGGCTGGGCTCAGTGGTTCATGCCTCTTATGCCAACACTTTGGGTGGGATGCACAAGACAGACTGATTGCTTCAGCCCAGGGGTGAGACTAGCCTGGGCAATACGATGAGACTCTGTCTCTACAAAAAAGACAAAAATTAGTCGGAGGTGGCAGCATCTACCTGTAGTCCCAGCTACTTGGGAGGCTGAGGCAGGAGGATCGCCTAAGCCTGGGAGTTTGAGGTTGCAGTGAGCCATGATCATACCACTGAACTCCAGCCTGGGCAACAGAGCGAGACACTGTCTCAAAAAAAAAAAAAAAAAAAAAAAAAAAAAATGATTTTTTTTTTTTTTTTTTTTTTGAGACAGAGTCTCACTCTGTCGCCCAGGCTGGAGTGCAGTGACGCAATTTCAGCTCACTGCAATCTCGACCTCCTGGGTTCAAGCAATTCTTCTGCCTCAACCTCTGAGTTGCTGGGACTACAGGAGCGTGCTACCAGGCCAGGCTAATAGTTTTCTATTTTTAGTAGAGACTAGGTTTCACTGTGTTAGCCAGGATGGTCTTGATCTCCTGACTTGTGATCCCCCCTGCCTCAGCCACCCAAAGTGGTAGAATTACAGGCATGAGCCACCATGCCCGGTGGAGTTATTTTATTAACAAAATTCTATGTAGTTATAACAAAACTGTCATGTTAGAGTTACCTTGTTAGGTCAATCTAGAAAAGGCGGCATATCAAGTCTTATATGTAGTATGTGCCTGAATGCTCTTCTGAGAAACACTCTTGTCTACAAAGACATGTACAGGAATATCTTTAAAAATATGCTTTCCAGCTGAACACAGTGGCTCATGCCTCTAATCCCAACACTTTGGGAGGCCAAAGCTGGAGTATCACTTGAGGTCACAAGCTCAAGACTAGCCTGGCCAACATGGTGAAACCCTGTCTCTACTAAAAATACAAAATTTAGCCAGGCATGGTGGTGAGTGCCTGTAATCCCAGCTACTTGGGAGGCTGAGGCAGGAAAATCATTTGAACCTGGGAGGTGGAGGTTGCAGTGAGCAGAGATCGCACCACTGCACTCCAGCCTGAGCGACAGAGTAAGACTCCATCTCAACAACAACAACAAAATTCCTTTTCTAATAGGAAAGAGGAAGCTTTATGAAATGAAAATCTGACCAAGTTTCTCCCCTACTAAAACTCTTCCACTAACATACTCATAAAGTTAATCATTTTACTGAGGAGCCGCCATAAAGCAGGCACTACATTGAACTAGGGAAACAGAGGTCCCTCTCCTCATCTAGTTTACACATTTAGCAAAAGAACAAGAAAACTAAATTCAATGTCTTAATAAATGTTATAATAGGAGAAGTATAAGGTATTATTGGTATTGTTTTGTTTTCTGGGTCAGAAAAATTTATCACTAAACTCAAATACATTACTTAACCCAGAAATTCTTAACTAGGATGGTATACCAACTCCCATGCCAGTGGTTGAAAATCAACTGCATTGAGAAATTTTACTGCTGAGGAACTGACTAGTGAGTTGCACATGGGAATAGAGCACATACAGGAAAAAGACTAAGAGCCACCCTACTCTGATAGGTATCAATTCAACCTATACAATACTGAAACTTTCTTTTTTAAAAGCTCAGATAAACAAAATTGAGACAATATTTTTCACGAATCTGACATTAGTATGTTTCACTTTCATTATCATGAGCATTACTACAAAGCAGATCATTAATTTTTTCATAAATACCTTAGCAAACACTTTCATAGTATATCCCAAATACTGCACTCTAGGATCAATAGCTGCATAAGTAGCTAGCATTCTTGTGTTATGTTGAGCCTGAAAAATAATTACATATTTGAAAGCATTTCAAATTTTTAAAAATTAAACTACAAATCAGATTTAAAAATATAATACACTCCAAATACAAAATATACAAATGTACAATATCTATTAACGAGTCAAACAAAAACTGATCTTCAATCTGAAGGAAATATCAAGATGACTAATAAAATACTTTTTTCTTATATTGTTTACATTTGAAAGTTTTAAACACAAAGATAGAGTCTGTAATCTGTAAACTTGTAAAATGAAAAGTTTATTCATGGCCCGTAAAGATAAACTTACCAATGTATTATATAAACTGATATCGCCTTCTAACCCACTTCGTCTGTGTTCAAATTTTACTATAGGCACTTTGGCAGTAGTTATAGGCAAAATGTTTCTTAAACCTAATTAAAAAAAAAAAAAAGACTTCAGTAGGTTAAGTAATGTTCGTAATGCTAAAAAAAATTTTCTTTTGTTTTAAAGATAAGATTGAAAATTCATACCTGGATGTCTCTTAAGAATTTTTGCCAAATTTTCAATTATTTCCTTACAATTTAATTTCTAAAAAACAAACGAAATAAAGTTTGACTCAATGTCACCTTGTGCAAATTCTACTTTAGGCATTTAGTAGCATTTAAAATTTCCAGCCATAAAGCTCTATAATAACCTTGCTACTCCAAGTAAGTGATTCACAGACCTAGAGTATCAGCATAATCTGCAAACTTGATAGAAATGCAGAATCTGAGGACCCTCACCAGTCTACTAAATCATAATCTGCATTTTAACAGGATCCCAAGGTAATTCACATGCAGATTAAAGTTTGAGAAGCACAAAGACAGGAGAAGAAAATGGTTTTCAATAAGTGAATAAACAGCTAGAGGTGAGTTTGGTGAGGGCAAAACAACAGAGTGATTAAGCACACAGGCTCTAAATCGAGACAAACCTGGGCTCAAATAAGTATTGATTAGCTGTGTGACTGACCAGACGTTTAACGTCTCTGAGCATCACACATTACTATTTTATAAAATTAAGATAATCATAAACTTTTGTCCTGAAGAGCTGTTGGGAGGATTTCATGAGACATTTATGTAAAGTACTCAGCAATGAATGCCTGGCACAAAATAAGCCTTTAAATCTGTGAGTTATTTATTATTATTATGCTGATGTGGAAAAGAAAGATACTGTTATCACCAGCACCTATTTCTCCAAGGAAATTCTTACTTCTGAAAATTTAAGTGTGCTACTGTTGTAAAAACCAGAGAGAGCAGAGTTGGTATGGTAATGATAATCATAATACATAATGATTATGGCATTATAAATTAACTGAAAATACCTGAAGGGTATAAACATCAATCCCAAGAGTTATTATAAAGTCACTTGCATTTTTCCAACATGCTCTTTTTAGCTACATGAGAGCAGGAGCCATTGCAGCTAAACCAAAGGATTTCAAAGAAACTGTTAGTTACTAATTCACATATGATAAAATTAGCAAAGGAGGTAATTTTTCTCTTTATTATTCAAGGATACAATGATGCTAAATTTTTAAAGTTTCATTATGACTCATCTGAAAGAAAATGATTTATTATTTTGTTTCAACTTCCCAATGTGAATGGCACAGATTATATATGACAGACAAACCCTTAGTGATTAGAAGTTTAATTAATAAATTTTACAGAGGAGATATCTAAAGCTCTAACCTCCTTCCTGGGTAAAAAAAAAAAAAATAATTTCCTATTCCCTCAATTCTGACTCCTCAGAACGGAGAAGGGCAGCCACTTTCTAAGTAGGTGGCTCTATGCAGAATTTAGCAAAGAAGAACAAATAAAATATTTGCAACTTTTCGGTTTCTTAATAAAACAACATGTTAATACACCAGAAGCAACTTCCTACAGCCAGAAATAAGGCATCACTGCCATCTGCACTCTGGGTCTAACAATTTCAAAACCACTTTTCAAAAGAATTTCAGAAAAGCACACTATTCTCCTCAATTCTTTTGTAACGTAACAGAGGCTATACTGACACCACTACGGATGCCAGAAGCTGGGCCTCACCCCAATCTTGCAGTCCCTAATTTTGAAACACAAATACCAATAGCTAGGCTGGTAAAGGACCATCTACAAGGATCCCCTCCTTTGCTAGCTGCCATTGAGAAGGCCTGGGACATTTCTTCCCTGTCCAATCAGTCCCTTTCTTCCCTGGAGCTTGGACAATCTCCTTCCCATTATTAAGGCCTAGTAGACAAAAAAAGGAAAGCTTAAGTACCCACTCTCACTGCTGAAATTGCACTTGGGGAAGGTCTGCTCCTGGCATCTCACGGTGGAACTCAGAAAGCTTTCAGTTTCAGAAAGTAGTGGTTAGGTTCTACAGTACTATTAGTACTATATTTCAGCTACATTATGGGTTAAAAAAAAATTACAGAGAGGCAGTGAGATACAATGGAAAGAGCATGAACTCTGGAGTCAGACAGACCTGGGTTACGAATCCCGGCTCCAACAATTACTAGCTGTGTGAACTTGGACAAGTCAGTTTATCTCTCAAAGCCTCAGTTTCCTCATCTGTAAAATGGGGGAAATAATACCTACCTCGAAGATGGTTGTAAGAATGAAATGAGATAATGTATGTAAAAGTGTATACTGGGAACTCAATAAATGTTAGTTCTCCTCCCTGCCCAAAATGAGTTTCTAAAAGCTATCTTAGCATTTATTTATTTATTTGTTTGTTTGTTTGTTTATTTATGAATGACAGAGTCTTGCTCTGTCTCCAGGCAGGAGTGCTGTGGCATGATCTCAGCTCACTGCAACCTCCACTCCCGGTTCAAGCGATTCTCCTGCCTCAGTCCCCCACCCAAGCAGCTGGGACTACAGGCACACCCCAGCACACCCAGCTAATTTCTGTATTTTTAGTAGAGGTGGGGTTTCACCATGTTGGCCAGTATGGTCTTGATCTCTTGACCTCATGATCCACCTGCCTCTGCCTCCCAAAGTGCTGGGATTACAAGCATGAGTCACCATGCTCAGCCCTTAGCACATCATTTATAATATTGCTTCTACGGAAAAAATTTTATGTGAGTGACCAAAAATTAAAACTAACTTTTAGAACAAAGCCAATTATAAATTAGGTGACCACCTGTATTTACTACCTATAGTGATACAAAGACATTATCTAATGGAAGAGATATGAGAAGATAAAGTATAAAAGGTCAATGTTGACTACAAAACTGAAGCATCAGCTTCTGATTGGGTCTAGTGAAAAAAATTCCAACCTTATATTATTTTTTACCAAAATTCATTACAAATCACTTGTAACTCTCAGTGACATGGTTTTTGTATCATAAAATTACTGAAACACTAATTTTACTTATTTTAAGATTTCAGTGTCTTATAAATTGAAAATGCGATTGTTTTCCTATTTCAAACACTGTTATTTTGCTAATGTATTTATACAAAGAGTGATACCACATTTTTATCAATATCACATACAAAAATAATAATAGAATCATCAATGGGAGAAACAAACTTCCATAACATTTCCCAAACACTCTTACCTCTGCATTTTCATGGCCTTCCAGGGTCATACAAATATCCAGATCGCTATCACGAAATCCAAATCCATTCTTGGAAGAGCCAAATAAGCACAATCTTGCCTTTTCTAAGCAAAGGAAAACAAAGTCCAAAGTCTTATTATTTGCAGAGAGGAAGAGTCTTCCATTATCTACTAATAACCTAATACAACATGCTTTTGTCCATTTCTATGATTTAAATTACCTACCATGGGAAGAAATACGAGAAATTCCAAAACATCTTGAGCTCAAGTTTCCGTACCCATGTACCCAGCTGCTCTTCCCAATTTTCCACAGACATCATAAATTCAACATGTCTAAATTATCAACTTCATCCCAAACCTATTGTTATTTTTATTATTCCTATTCTCAGCAAATAGTACCAACATGTATTCAGTTGCTCACATCAGAAATACAGGTGCAATCCTTAATATCTCTCTCTCTCTCAGTGTCCACATGCAAACAATTAGTAAGACTTTTAGCTTTTTCAGACTTATGTAATAAATCCAACTGCTTTTATTCATTCTCAACATCACTACCAATAGTTAAGATTAATATCTGAGAACTGACCTATTAAAAATAAATTAATTCTTTCAAACCACAATTCAGGTAGGTTTACAAATATCACCTTAGTACATGATTCTCTTCCAAAAATAAATGTTTAATCCACTTGGTATAAATTATGATAGCATTAACCCTTCAGACTCATCCAATAACAGCTACCACTTCAAATACGCTATGGTTTAATAGAGCTGCATTTTTCTTCCTATTACTTTTTTTATTTTTTAGAGACAGGGTCTTGCAATGTTGCCCAGGCTAGAGTACACTGACTATACACAGGTACAATCATTATGCACTACAGCCTTGGACTCCCTACCTCAAGCAATACTCCCACCTCAACCTCCCAAGTAGCTGGGATGACAGGTATGTGCCACTGGGCCTGGCTCTTCCTATTAATTCTTAAGTAGACTACACATTTAGATAGGACATTTTATACTTTGAAAATTTCATTCCCCCATCCAGCCCTGATGCTCTACTTGAAATTTCAATGATAGCTGAGATGCATAAAAGAAACTATACTCAACAGCAAATAAAAATGAGCATGAGTTTTATATAATAGAGACTTAGATTTGGTCAATACTTTATACTCCTATAATCCCGGAGCTTCAGAAAGCCAAGGTGGGAGGATCATTTGAGGTCAGGAGATTGAGACCAGCTTGGGCAATATGGTGAGACTTCATCTTTGCAAAAAAAATGTTAAAATAAAAAAGAAGGCAGAGTGTGGTTGCTCATGCCTGTAACCCTAGAACTCTAGGAAGCTGAGGGAGGTGAATCACTTGAGATCAGGAGTTTGAGACCTGCTTGGAAAACATGGTGAAACTCTATCTCTGCAGAAAATAATCAGCTGGGTGTTGGTGGTACTATCCTGTGATCCCAGATACTCAGGAGGCTAAGGTAGGAGGATCACTTGAACCTGGGAGGTCAAGGCTGAAATGAACCCTGATTACATGATCGCACCACTGCAGTTAAGCCTGGGTGACAGAGCAAGATCCTATTTCAAAAAAA